CGGTCGCTACCCGGATTCGAACCCGGGACCTTTGAATGAGAGGCCAACACCTATAACCTCTAGGCCACGAGAGCCCCCTATATAGATGTTTGATAGGGAAAAAGAAGCAATATTGAACAATATTGAAATATATTTTTTTTTAACAAAGAAAAAAAATTATCACAGAAAGAACAGATAGAGCAGTACATACAAAACAATGGGGGGGGGGGGGGGGGGTTTCAAAACAAAAAACCTTACTAAAACAGAACAAGAAAAAATTGAGTACTTTTCTATATCTTTTTAAAGTACAACAAAAGTTAGAATACTTAACTAAAATTTTTAAAAACAATTAACAAATCAACAAAAGTTAGAATATATGTAACTAGATTTTTTTTAACAAAACAAAAAATCAACAAAAGTTAAAATACTTTAAATTAAATTTTTTTAAACAACAAAAGATCAACAAAAGATAAAGTACTTAGATATTTTTTTTTAAAACAAAGACAATAGAATTGACAAACTTTTAAAATGCTTGACTAAAAGAAAAACAAACCTAAGACTGTCCCCGTCGTTTTATGCACCCCCGCATGATTTAGCCAAATTTGATCATTTTTTGGCATAATTTCTTATTATTTTCCTTTATCATTCTTTGTTAAAATTAACAGAATCGCACAATTTCACATTTTTGGGCTCAGTTTGCATAATTTCAGAAAATTTTGGGGGGGGCATAAAACCGCGGGGACAGCTAAGAAAGAACCCCCCCCCCCCCCCACCCCCCAAATAATAAATAAATAAATAAATAAACAAATATATAAATAAATACATAAAATAACCCCAACCCAACAACAAAGAAAAATCTGTGAGGTAGCCCTCAGAAGTCCTCGCTAGTGTTGGGCGGCTAGGTTCCCGATTATTGAAAGCTAGGAATCGTAGGAATGGACTTCGAGCCCAATTACTCACTTTCTAAAGATGCGACTTCTTCAGATGGTTACCTGTTTGGGCCCTAACATCTTCAGGATTTAGGAGAACCTTGATTTCGGAACACTACGAAGCATCAATTTTATTTTTCAAAAGCAAATTCTAAAAAAAAAAAAACATTTTCAGGATCAAAGTAACTGGAAACCGTTGGTTTTCATAAAAAGGAGTCGGAACTTTTCTTTCGTAACATTCATCGTGGGAATCGGTTCCGGAATCGCTTCTTCGCCCAGCTCTAGTCCTCACCTCTTGGCGTTGTAGTCTCTGTCCAGCGTGGGCTCCTCAAAGAGAGCGACGTACACCAGGATACAGCTGAAGATGACCAGGGCCGTGATGGTGTGGGCGCGCCTGTGGGTGAGAGAGGGGGGCGGGTGGGGGTGGGTGGGGGGGTCATGTTAGTTCATTTTTCGTTCTTTGTATGCTTCCCGGGAAGCTGAGAATGTTTCAGAGTGTTCTATGGTCTGCTGGGGTAATAATATAGTGTAAAGCGCATAGAGCCTGCTGTTGAGCGGGGATATGCGCTATACAAATGCTATCTATTATTATTATTATTATTATTATTATTATTGTTTGTTTTATTTTTTTCCCTTCCGCTTGTACCGGCGGGTGTCCCGCGGTTTTATGAATTCTTTAATTTTAATTTTTTAAATTTTAGTCGAGTTTTTACGGCGCTCAGAACTGCATAATAAGGTCATATTATGAACGCCGAGGGGTGGATGTCAACAGAGAAGTCCTTACAGGGAATCAGACTTACTCTGCTCACCTCTCTAGCTTCAACAGCACAAGTAAGTCTGCTTTGACTATCAAGGCGCCCCGGAAATAGCCGGTCACAAGAGTGTGACAAACATACAAAAGAAGTAGAGGAAAATGATGATAGTAAGGATTAGGAAAGAAAAAGCACCAGTTCCCTGTTGTAGATCAGGCACACTTATGAGCGTGACATTGATGAATCAGCCCATTCACAATTCTACTGTGCTTACTTGAACGAGAAATGTCCCCCCTTTGGGTAGAGGCCTAAAGACACTACAGTCAGTGGCACTGCCCCGGTGGGG